TTCTGCGTTTCCTCTGCTTTTTCCCTCTGCGTTTCCTCTGCTTTTTCCCTCTGCGTTTCCTCTGCTTTTTCCCTCTGCGTTTCCTCTGCTTTTTCCCTCTGCGTTTCCTCTTCTTTTTCCCAGATAACTACTGGAACGCGGCGTCGTTCACCACGCCCTCCTCCTACCTACATTTCTCCACCTTCCAGGGAGAGACCAGCGCTGATATCTCCTTCTACTTCAAGACCAGCGCTCCCTACGGGGTGTTCCTGGAAAACCTTGGCAACACCGACTTCATACGCCTCGAACTCAAATGTTAGTTACTCTACCTTTCTCTCACTTTTAGCACAGACTTTCATTCTGTGGCTTCTTCCTATGTTTCTACACTCCTTTCGTTGGCCTCTCTGTTTTTTTTTGGAGGATGTTCTCTCTCTCTTTCATCTGTTTTTATTTCTCCCTTTTTTCGCTCTTCAACCCTCCTCTCTTCCTGCACTGTATTAGAACAGTAAAAAAAAATGTTTTTAAAAATAAACAGACGTTTCTGTTCAGACTTAAAAACTTTTCTGAGACAGTTTCCCTCTCAGTTCTCTAACTGGCTCTTAAGCGATGATTGACATGTCATATGCTTTATGTGACTATGCTCTAATGACTCAAATTAAACGTCTAAATGGCCATTCAATCGTATTCAGATTGAGAATGTTAAATTCCTGGGGATCAAATTTAACCACAGTTCTTTTATGACTAGACGGCTATTTAACCAGAGTGGCTGTCAATTTGATGATGGATGACAAATTACATTTCAGCAATTTCAAAGAGCTTTAGGTTTAATGGGGGTAACTAACCTCATCCACCCACCATTTTGTGGCACAGTGTTTAGTACTAATGTATACCAGCTACCTGGGGGGGAACTCGTCAGACATCTTGGCTTACTATATAACACTTACTTAGGACACACCTCCTCCTCCTCCTCCACTGTCTTTGTATTTCTCTCTCTCTCTCCATTTCTCTCTGAAAAGAGGTTGTTGAATATTCATGTATGATTCCGAGTCGTGAATGAGCTTTAATTTTGTCAGAGTAGAAATTATTTATTTCTACCGCTCTCATCTTTCAAAGCGCGCTTTGAAGGGTGTCTCTGTCCTTTTTTATTCTGTTAAGAGAAGGAGAGATGAGGCGAAGGAGGGGATAGAGGGAGAGATGGAGAGAGAGAGAAGAGGGAGATTACTTGGAGTTTGTCCAAGTCGTGCTCAGGCCTACAATATATTAGTTAGTCTGTTTTCACACTGTGGCTCCGTGTTTGACTGTGTTTCACTCAGCTAACAGAGGCTGAACTGACCCTGTTGTTTCTGGAGTGGAGAATAAGGAGAAATAGAGGAGGGTTAATAATAACCTATAAGGGTTATAACATCATATAACCTACATATAATAACCTATAACAGTGGTTGTGAACAGTGTGTGATTGAGAGGGCAGAAAGGAGAGTAACTCACACACATCCTTTAGGTAGTAACATCTGGACTGAACAGGTGGCTAGTGGCAGGCTTATACACACACACACACACACACACACACACACACACACACACACACACACACACACACACACACACACACCTCTACACACACACACACACACACCTCTACACACACACACACACACCTCTACACACACACCTCTACACACACACACCTCTACACACACACACACACACACCTCTGCACACACACACACACACACCTCTACACACACACACACACACGCCTCTACAGACACACTCACACACACACATTCTCTCTTTCATCGTGTGTATATGCGTGTGTGTGTGTGTGTGTGTGTGTGTGTGTGTGTGTGTGTGTGTTTATCAATCTTTTGGTGAATATGTTCCATCAAACACTGAGTGCAATCATCTTCACAGTAAAGCTGAAATCTATAAGAGTTAAATGAGTCTCCATAACTAATGAGACATTAGATTAGATATCGAACTGTAGAACTCCAGGGTGGACAACTGGAAAACAATGATTTATGAGATTAAAAATGTGGATTATTATAAACCAAAGGTACTTTATGCATTCAAATAAATAGATTCAAATGTGGTTGGTCGTTTGTGGACATGGCATCGATTAACGTCTTCTTCTTCTCTTCTTCTTCTTCTTCTTCTCTTCTTCTTCTTCTTCTTCTTCTTCTTCTTCTTCTTCTTCTTCTTCTTCTTCTCTAGCTCCTACTGTTGTCTCGTTCTCCTTTGATGTGGGGAACGGTCCAGTAGAGTTGGCCGTCCATTCAGCCACGCCCCTCAACGATGACCAATGGCATCGTGTGATGGCGGAGCGGAACGTGAAGGAGGCGGTGCTACAGCTGGATCTGAACTATAGGGAAGCTCTTCCAGCCGCTCCACAAGGACACACACGGCTAGAGCTGTTTAGTCAGCTTTATGTGGGTAAGGGAAAGATAGAGAGACACACACACACCAACAGAAAAATACTACAATACTGTACTACATTTTCATTTCATTCAACAATTGTGCTGATATTTTTTACTTTGCAAAATGTAATAAGTTGGCGATATAGTTTGTGTCAGTATAACATTATTAATAGCCACAGTTTCTTTATGTTTCCCTGAGTAGGTTCTCTGAAGCTTAGACACGACTGATGATAATGAAGATAAGCGCTTAAGGTTTAATCAGACATCACACTGTTTCTCACGCACACACGGCTGATGTTAACAAAGTGAAAGAATTATGTGAGTAAAAACTAACCTAATTCACTTAGCCCAGACTCTTTGTCTTGATGACTGTGTTAGAGTATTAACAGTTGCAGAGGATTAAGACTTTTCAACCGCACACAGAGACAATGGATTAAGACTTTTCAACCGCACACAGACAATGGATGAAGTCCTCACTGTGATATTCTGATTGTTTCCTCCAATCCCTCTCTTCTCGACACAATGACTGTGAAGGTCATTAGGAGCAGAGGGGAACAGAAATTAAAGAGCTGAATGGCTGGTCTTTATCTTTTCCTGTCACTCCTCTAGCTTAGCCTGCTTTGTGTGGCTGCTGACTTGCCAATACTTTAACACTGACGACAGGGATGAAACTGGATTTAGGATGGAGGGAAAAACTGCTGAGCTTGAATTAAATTATCTTTCCTTCTTTCGCTCTCTGACTCTGAAAAGTTTTTTTGCTCTGAGACACTTCTCAATTCAAATCAGACATTCCAAAGTCTGATAGTTCTGAATTCCAATAAGACATTCCAAATTCCATCATCTCATCAATTTTTGGCGGATTGGATGGAAGAACATTATCACACTGCAGCTTCCTGAATTGCCAGAGGGGATTAATAAAGTTGTATTGAATTTAATCGAATTAAAGTAAATAGAATCGATCCTTATATGCCACCGTTAACCATACAGGCACATATTGATTTGTGATGGGAAACTTTAATAACAGCTCATAAAGACATACAACTCACAGTCCCCTATCTTATCTGCATGCATAGTAGGTTTCAGGGGAACCAACTCGCTGAATAACCCCTCGGGGATCAATCTATCAATCTAATTGACATCAGATCATCAACTAAACACAATCAGTTCTTCCATCACCTCCATACAGCCATGGGACCTATTAGTTTATGTTGGATCAGAGAGGAGCGCTATAAAACTCCTGACTGTGTGCCTCTCTAGCAGATCATCAGCATGTGTCAGAGCAGCGAGGGTATTTGCCTGGTCGGGGGAAATTTAATCGGGCTCAGATGGGATCTACAGTGATTTGTATTCTAAAACTGGTGTCTAAACACAGAGGCACAGGGAAGAAAACACCCGGATATCTCACACAGGTGGTGCCTACACGATTTGGGTTATTTATGTGTTATATTATTTGGTAATATGTCATATTTTAAATGTTGATATTATATTCCATTATTTCATATATTTTCTGCATGTTTTTCATATCTTTCCTTTTTTCTTTGTTTTTCTTTTGGTCACTGCATGTGTGTGTGTGTGTGTGTGACACGGTGTTTGTCATGAAACTGTCACAGGGAAGCCTGCTTCGTTGACCTGCAAAGACAGTAGGTAACATTCATGTGTAAATATACTGAACAAAAGTATAAACGCAACATGTAAAGTGTTGGTCCCATGTTTCATGAGCTGAAATAAAAGGATCCCAGAAATGTGTCATATGCACAAAAAGCTTATTTCTCTCAAATTTTGTGCACAAATGAGTTTACATCACTTTTATGAGCATTTCTCCTTTGCCAAGATAATCCATCCACCTGACAGGTGTGGCATATCAAGAAGCTAATTAAACAGCATGATCATTACACAGGTGCACCTTGTGCTGGGGACAATAAAAGGCCAATATAATGTTCATTTCTCGACCATAAGCCGCCTCCAACGCCGTTTTAGAGAATTTGGCAGTATGTCCAACCGGCCAGCACAGCCCAGGACCTCCACATCCGGCTTCTTCACCTGTGGGATCGTCTGAGACTAGCCACCGAGACAGCTGATGAAACTGAGGAGTATTTCTGTCTGTAACAAAGCCCTTTTGTGGGGAAAAACTCATTCTGATTGGCTGGGCCTGGCTCCCCAGTGGGTGGGCCTGGTCCCAAGTTATTTCACCAGATTAGGGCCTAATGAATTTATCTCAATTGAGTGATTTCCGTCGATGAACTGTAACTCAGTAAAATCAATGAAATTGTTGCATGTTGCGTTTATATGTTTGTTCAGTATAGAAACAGATATATAATATACATACAGTGGCTTGCGAAAGTATTCACCCCCCTTGGCATTTTTCCTATTTTGTTGCCTTACAACCTGGAATTAAAATCTATTTTGGGGGGGTTTGTATCATTTGATTTACACAACATGCCTGCCACTTTGAAGATGCAAAATATTTTTTTGGGGTGAAACAAACAAGATATAAGACAAAAAAACAGAAAACTTGAGCATGCATAACTATTCACCCCCCCCCCCCCCCCCCCCCCCCCAAAGTCAATACTTTGTAGAGCCACCTTTTGCAGCAATTACAGCTGCAAGTCTCTTGGGGTCTGTATAAGCTTGGCACATCTAGCCACTGGGATTTTTGCCCATTCTTCAAGGCAAAACTGCTCCAGCTCCTTCAAGTTGGATGGGTTTGACTGGGCCATTCCAATACATTTAAATGTTTCCCCTTAAACCACTCGGGTGTTGTTTTAACAGTATGCTTAGGGTCATTGTACTGCTGGAAGGTGAACGTCCGTCCCAGTCTCAAATCTCTGGAAGACTGAAACAGGTTTCCCTCAAGAATTTCCCTGTATTTAGCGCCATCCATCATTCCTTCAATTCTGACCAGTTTCCCAGTCCCTGCCGATGAAAAACATGGTGTTCTCGGGGTGATGAGAGGTGTTGGGTTTGCGCCAGACATAACGTTTTCCTTGATGGCCAAAAAGCTAAATTTTAGTCTCATCTGACCAGAGTACCTTCTTCCATATGTTTGGGGAGTCTCCCACATGGCTTATTTTTTTCTTTAAGCAATGGCTTTTTTCTGGCCACTCTTCCGTAAAGCCCAGCTCTGTGGACTGTACGGCTTAAAGTGGTCCTATGGACAGATACTCCAATCTTCGCTGTGGAGCTTTGCAGCTCCTTCAGGGTTATCTTTGGTCTCTTTGTTGCTTCTATGATTAATGCCCTCCTTGCCTGGTCCGTGAGTTTTGGTGGGTGCCCCTCTCTTGGCAGGTTTGTTGTGGTGCCATATTCTTTACATTTTTTAATAATGGATTTAATGGTGCTCCGTGGGATGTTCAAAGTGTCTGATTTTTTTTATAACCCAAACCTGATCTGTACTTCTCCACAACTTTGTCCCTGACCTGTTTGGAGAGCTCCTTGGTCTTCATGGTGCCGCTTGCTTGGTGGTGCCCCTTGCTTGGTGGTGCCCCTTGCTTAGTGGTGTTGCAGACTCTGGGGCCTTTCAGAACAGGTGTATATATATTGAGATCATGTGACAGATCATGTGATAATTAGATTGCACACAGGTGGACTTTATTTAACTAATTATGTGACTTCTGAAGGTAATTGGTTGCACAATATCTTATTTAGGGGCTTCATAGCAAAGGGGGTGAATATATATGCACGCACCACTTTTACATTATACATTTTTTTATACATTTTTTAACAAATAATTTTTTTCATTTCACTTCACCAATTTGGGCTATTTTGTGTATGTCCATTACATGAAATCCAAATAAAAATCAATTTAAATTACAGGTTGTAATGCAACAAAATAGGAAAAACGCGAAGGGGGATGAATACTTTTGCAAGGCACTGTAGATATAGTAGATAGATGACTTTCAGTTTATGTCCCTGCAGTCTTTTCCCTTTCATGCAAGGCCACTGGTCTGTGTCCATGCTGCTAATATCTCTCTTGGCCTTGCTATGCACTGCGTGGCTCAGAGAGGGAAGGTATTCTACTGGATAGTTTGTGTGTGTGTGTGTGTGTGTGTGTGTGTGTGTGTGTGTGTGTGTGTGTGTGTGTGTGTGTGTGTGTGTGTGTGTGTGTGTGTTGTGTGTGTGTGTGTGTGTGTGTGTGTGTGTGTGTGTGTGTGTGTGTGGTGTGTGTGTGGTGTGTGTGTGTGTGTGTGTGTGGTGTGTGTGTGTGTGTGTGTGTGTGTGTGTGTGTGTGTGTGTGTGTGTGTGTGTGTGTGTGTGTGTGTGTGTGTGTGGGTGGGTGGGTGTGTGTGTGAGAGAGAATGGGGGTATCCCTCTAGGCAATGCTATCCTAATGAATATAATATGCTAGTTCATTAGCACATCATTACAGAGTAATTTACCTTATGGAGGCAGACAGAGAGAGGTCAGGAGTGCACCACACACAAACACACACTAGCACACGACATGAGGGGTGGGCAACTCCAGTCCAGGAGGGCCACAATGTCTTCCTGATGTAAATCTGGCTAAATGGGTGTTGATATCTTAAGCCAATAAGCCACACTAATTGATCAATTAAGTGCCAAGGTGAAGTTAAATAGGGCTGGAGCGCCTCTCCTCTGGCCTGTTAAATCACTGCGACCATCAACAGTCATATATACCCCCAGCTCAACCTCAAGGGAAATTATCTCTATTCCTATTTCAAAATTCATCTTATCTCCCTCACGACGCCAGGACAGCGGAGTCACTCACCACCTTCCGGAGACATTTGAAACCCCACCTCTTTAAGGAATACCTGGGATAGGATAAAGTAATCCTTCTACCCCCCCTTACCCCAACCCACCGCCCCCCCCCCCAAATTTTTTTTATTTAAATTTGTAAAGTGGTTATCCCACTGGCTATAAGGTGAATGCACCTATTTGTAAGTCGCTCTGGATAAGAGCGTCTGCTAAATGACGTAAATGTAAATGTAAATCTCTCTGTGTTCTTTCTCTCTCTTCTCTCTCTCTTCTCTCTCTCGCTGTCTGTAGGTGCAGCAGGGGGTCAGAGGGGGTTTCTGGGATGCATCCGCTCCCTCAGGATGAATGGTGTGACACTTGACCTTGAAGAGAGGGCCAAGGTGACGATTGGTTGATTGATTTCCTTTATTTCATCATCAAAAAATAAATCAAATTCTCTTTACTAACGCAAATTAAGAGCATCCAAAAGTCAAACTCTCTCTCTCTCTCTACATCTCCATGCTGCTCTCTCTCCATCTCCATCCCTCTATCTTGCTCTCCATCTCCATCTCTCTCTCTCTCCATCTCCATCCCTCTCTCTCTCTCTCCATCTCCATCTCTCTCTCTCTCTACATCTCCATGCTGCTCTCTCTCCATGTCCATCCCTCTCTTTCCATTTCTCTCTCTCCCCATCTCCATCCCTCTCTCTTGCTCTCCATCTCCATCTCTCTCTCTCTCCATCCCCATCACTCTCTCTCTCTCCATCTCCATCACTCTCTCTCTCTCCATCTCCATCCCTTTCTCTCTCTCTAGGTAACTCCAGGTGTAAAGCCAGGATGTCAGGGTCATTGTACCAGTTATGGGATGTACTGCAAGAACGGAGGAAAGTGTGTGGAAAAATATAATGGCTACTCCTGTGACTGCACTGCCACGGCATACGACGGACCCTTCTGCACTAAAGGTGAGAGCTAATCGCTACACCCTGAAATTACTGCTAGGCTGTTGGACGGTGTAACCAGCAGCCTCTTGTTTGCAGAGGAACGGCAATATTTACTCAGAAGTAAGAGTTAGTTTCTGTCAGTCGCAGTGAGACTTCGTAGCCAGAAAGTTGACAGATGAATTAATTTGTTTCCTAAACTTAAACTTGTTTTCCTGTGTTTTAAACGCCAGGCAGGGGGTGACGACACCTGGGAGTATGTGTCAGATGATGATGAATGATGAGAGAGAGAGAGAGAGAGAGAGAGAGAGAGAGAGAGAGAGAGAGAGAGAGACAGGCATGTGAGAGAGAGAGATAGATAGGAGATGGAGAAGAAGAATCGCGACGATACAGAGAGAGAGAGCATATAGGACCCTACAGAGTGAAGAGAAGAGAGAGTAGATCGAGTAAGATAGCGAGGACCCATCCTCTTATCTCTAGCTCTATCGCTCGCTGTCTATATCTCTCTTCTCGCTCTGCTCTCTCTCGTCTTTTCTCTCATCTTCTCTACTCCTCTCTCGCTCTCTCTCTCTCTCTTCTCCTCCTTTTTTCTATCTATTACATATCACAGTATTCCTGCAAAGTAGCTGACATGAAAGGACCTCCCCAGTGTTCTGTGTATGTGTAAACTGAAGATGAGGTCTTGAATGTAATGGAAACTAGTGTGTGTGTGTTTATTTATCTACACGTGAGTGTGTATTATGCACTTCAGATACTCCAGAGGACCCTCTCCCTCTGTTCTCCTGTCTGTGTCATATGTATGAGTGCAGTCATAATATGAATAAGAATATTATTCATTATCAGTCATAATTGCGAAGCCTATTTGCATTATATCCATATTTACACCTGGCTCCTGAGGTTGAATATTATTACTGCCATACCCTGGTGTCACAGACAGACAACTATGACTCCATAATGAACAACACACACACACACACACATACTCTTTATTTAACCAGGTAAGCCAGTTGAGAACAAGTTCTCATTTACATCTGTGACCTGGCCAAGATAAAGCAAAGCAGTGCGATAAAAACAACAACACAGAGTTACATATGGGGTAAACAAAACATAAAGTCAAAAATACAACAGAAAATATATATACAGTGTGTGCGAATGTAGTAAATTATGGAGGTAAGGCAATAAATAGGCTATAGTGCAAAATAATTACAATTAGTATTAACACTGGAATGATAGATGTGCAGAAGAAGATGTGCAAATAGAGATACTGGGGTGCAAATGAGCAAAATAAATAACAATATGGGGATGAGGTAGTTGGGTGGGCTAATTTCAAATGGGCTGTGTACAGGTGCAGTGTCAGGAGTGCTGTATGTGGAAGGTGCGGGAATCAGGCGCAGGACACAGAAGCTTCGTTCAACAGTCTTTAGTGAATCAATACGAGCAAAAGTGCCCGGAGACGAGTGATACGCACACAGGCGTAAATGAACAGGAAAAATACTAACGCGCACAACAAGTGCGAAAACCTCTCCTAAAAACCAAGGAGGGAAAACCAATACAGACACGAAGACAGGAAGCTCAATAACACACAACACAAGACTAACAAAACGAGAACTTATAGGACACATAATCAACGCTAACTAACCACAGGTGTACAACAATCAGACAAAAGCAAACGAACATAGAAACATACAACGGTGGTAGCTAGTATTCCGGGGACGACGACCGCCGAAACCTGCCCGAGCAAGGAGGAGGAGCAGCCTCGGCAGATTCCGTGACAGTACCCCCCCCTTGACGCGCGGCTCCAGCCGTGCGCCGACCCCGGCCTCGGGGACGACCAGAAGGACGCGGTGCAGGGCGCGTAGGGTGACTACGGTGGAACTCAGTCAGGAGAGACGGGTCTAGGATGTCCCTCCTCGGCACCCAGCACCGCTCCTCCAGGCCGTACCCCTCCCACTCCACAAGATATTGGAGACCCCCCATCCGACGTCTCGAATCCAAGATGGACCGAACTGTGTACGCCGGAGCCCCCTCGATGTCCAATGGGGGCGGAGGAGTCTCTGCTATCTCACCTTCCTGGAGTGGACCAGCTACCACCGGCCTGAGAAGAGACACATGGAACGAGGGGTTAATATTCTTATACTCAATAGGTAGTAGTAACCTGTAACACACCTCGTTCAATCTCCTCAGGACTTTAAAGGGCCCTACAAACCGCCGACCCAGCTTCCGGCAGGGCAGGCGGAGGGGTAGGTTTCTGGTCGAGAGCCAGACTCGATCTCCAGGTGCGTACACCGGCCCCTCACTGCGGTGGAGATCGGCGCTCGCTTTCTGTCGACGGATGGCCCGCTGCAGATGGACGTGTGCAGCGTTCCACGTCTCCTCCGAGCGCCCTACCCACTCATCCACCGCAGGGGCCTCGATCTGGCTCTGATGCCACGGTGCCAGAACCGGCTGGTAACCTAACACACATTGGAAAGGGGTTAGGTTGGTGGAGGAGTGGCGAAGAGAATTCTGGGCAATCTCTGCCCAGGGAATATACCTCGCCCACTCCTCCGGCCGGCCCTGGCAATACGACCTCAGAAACCTACCCACATCCTGGTTCACACGTTCTACCTGCCCATTACTCTCCGGGTGGTACCCCAAGGTAAGGCTCACCGAGAACCCCAGGCGCTCCATGAACGCTCTCCAGACTCGGGAGGTGAACTGGGGACCTCGATCAGACACTATATCCTCGGGTACCCCGTAATGCCGGAAGACGTGGGTGAATAGTGCCTCAGCGGTCTGCAAGGCAGTGGGAAGACCTGGCATTGGGAGAAGACGACAGGCTTTAGAGAACCGATCCACAACGACCAGTATGGTGGTATTCCCCTGAGAGGGGGGAAGGTCTGTAACAAAGTCCACCGAGAGGTGAGACCAGGGTTGTTGTGGAACGGGCAGGGGTTGTAACTTACCCCTGGGCAGATGTCTGGGCGCCTTACACTGGGCGCACACCGAACAGGAGGAGACATAAACCCTCACATCCCTGGCTAACGTTGGCCACCAGTACTTAGCGCTAAGGCAGTGCACAGTCCGGCCAATACCTGGATGTCCAGAGGAGGGTGACGTGTGAGCCCAATAAATAAGTCGATCCCGAACCTCGAGCGGAACGTACGTCCGACCCACCGGACACTGTGGAGGGCTAGGGTTGGTACGCAACGCCCGCTCGATTTCAGCATCGACCTCCCACACTACCGGTGCCACTAGACAAGACTCCGGCAGTATGGAAGTGGGCTCAACGGACCTCTCCTCTGTGTCATACCGCTGGGACAGGGCGTCTGCCTTACCGTTCTGGGACCCAGGGATGTACGTGATTTTAAATACAAACCGGGTTAGAAACATGTTCCACCGAACCTGGCGAGGGTTCAGTCTCCTAGCTGCCCGAATGTACTCCAGGTTACGGTGGTCAGTCAAAATGAGAAAAGGGTGTTGAGCCCCCTCAAGCCAATGTCTCCACACCTTTAGGGCTTGAACCACGGCTAACAGCTCCCTGTCTCCTACGTCATAATTACGCTCCGCCGGGCTGAGCTTTTTAGAGTAGAAAGCACAGGGGCGGAGTTTAGGTGGCGTGCCGGACCGTTGTGATAGCACGGCCCCTATACCGGCCTCAGACGCGTCCACCTCTACCTGAAATGGTAAGGCGGGATCCGGATGCGCAAGCACTGGAGCCGAGGTAAACAGGGCCTTCAGTCTCCCAAATGCCCTGTCCGCCTCCACTGACCACCGCAATCGCACCGGACCCCCCTTCAGAAGAGACGTTATGGGAGCTGCCACCTGTCCAAAACCCCGGATAAACTTCTGGTAGTAATTCGCAAAACCCAAGAACTGCTGCACCTCTTTCACGGTGGTTGGGGTTTGCCAATTACGCACGGCTGACACCCGGTCAACCTCCATCTTCACCCCTGACGCGGATAACTGATAACCCAGAAAGGAGACCGACTCCTGGAAAAACAGACATTTCTCTGCCTTGACATACAGGTCGTGCTCCAACAGCCTACCCAACACCCGACGCACCAGGGCTACATGCTCGTCTCGGGTAGGCGAGTAAACCAGGATGTCATCTATGTACACGACCACACCCTGCCCCTGCATGTCCCTGAAAATCTCATCCACGAAGGATTGGAAGACTGAAGGAGCATTCATCAACCCGTATGGCATGACGAGATACTTGTAATGACCCGAGGTGGTACTAAATGCCGTTTTCCATTCATCGCCCTCCCTAATGCGCACCAAGTTATATGCGCTCCTGAGATCCAGTTTCGTGAAGAAACGGGCTCCGTGCAAAGACTCAGTCATAGTCGCAATCAGAGGGAGTGGATAACTGTACTTCACAGTGATCTGATTGAGACTACGGTAATTTATGCACGGGCGCAACCCTCCATCCTTTTTCTTCACAAAAAAGAAGCTCGAGGACGCAGGAGAAGTGGAGGGCCGTATGTATCCTTGTCT